GGGGGGGGGGGTCCGGGAAGGGGCAGTGTTGTATCTCTGGGAATCAATCCCGGCACGTGGGGGAGGCTGGGAGGGGGCAGCATGAGGATCCAATCCTGGTGCAGCGGGGGTAGGAGGTGTTGCCAGGCCCCTCAGGCTCACTCCTGGCATGTGGGGCAGGGATAATCCAGTACCAGGCTCCAGGGCCCAACCTGGCTCAGACTCTCCCAGCGCCACTAATTAGCCTGTGGCACTAAAAGGTTGAGCACCTTCACCTGCCTCACACTATTACCACCCACACCATCAACAAAACAGAAGAACCCCACTGTTTCTGAGTGCTTCCCATGCCACTTTCTACATGGGACCAGTCACTGTGACCTGTTACGGACACCAGACAGGAGCACTGGGAACAGCTTGAACAGCGCTCAGGGACACAGCCTGTTCTGCTTCCCCATCCCACACACTGGTGAAGTGAGGGCTGTACCTGCCCTGCAGCCTGCTCTGATTTGTGCCGAACAGAAACCAGCTCTGGAGCTGTCACACGTGCTCCAACACTCACGCGAGAGCCGCCTGGGCCTTTTTAGAGCTGGAAAGCCCATTTTATTGTGCAATGACAACTTTGCCTGTGCAGCCACTCTGCGCTTACTGCACAATCCCCCTGCTGACTGCATCATCGTGGCCAGTCTACATCTATTGCATGGATGAACTATTAATTACAATTCACCCATTAACAATGTGATGGTGGCTTGGCACCTGTGGCTCGTGTGCATTTATTGCCTGGTTCACCCACGCACTGCACAATAATGCCTTTACCCATGCAGCCGCTCTACGTTTCTGAGGCGGTTCGCCCACTAATTGCAGTTCACCCACTTGTTGTGTGATGACGGCTTTGCCCATGCTGCTGGTCTACATTTACGACACAGTATTGTTGTGCGATAATGACTTGGTACAAGCTGCAGGCGTGTATTTATTGCGCAGGTCATCCACTACTTGCAGGGCCATGACTTTGCCTGTGACCGCTATACATTTATTGCGTGGTGCGTGATACATGTGACGTGTGCCAGGGCGGGGCTGTGCTCACCTGTTGGAGTGCTGCAGGATACAGTAGTCCTCGCGGGGCTGCCCCACGTCTGCAAGAAGCAGCGACACGGGCCTCGTGAGCGGGCGGGCAGGCTCCGGGCCCCCCAAACCCCACCAGGCCGCGCGCAGCACCCCCCGGGCGCGGCCA